CACTTGCGGCACCGCGTTTTGTCCTTTCTGATGGATTTCTCTCTTACAATGCTCTTATAACGTCTCTCTCCTCTACTCCTTCGGGTCTTGGGTCCTTGATCATGCGGGAAGCCCTAGATGCGTCGCTCTTTTCGCATGTGTAATTTTTTTCTCATACGTCTGCGTCGATCGGACTGTTTCATCTAGTACGCCTGCTCTCGACCGATCCTAGAAAAACAGATAATGAGTGAGATAGATAATGAGAGAGAGAGAGAGATATATATAGATAGAGAGAGAGAGAGAGAGAGAGAGAGGATGCGCGAGGGAGGGAGAGTATGTGAGAGAGACCTGCTTAGTTAAGATGCATAAGTGTGTTCATCTCGGCAGTTGCGCGACTATGCACTTCCTGTTCAGATTTTCCTTTCGTCTCTCCCTCTGTATATCTATCTATCCTGCCGTCATTAGATTTATGCTTTTGCAAGTTTCCATTGAGTCAGCTTACCCCCTGTTCTCGCTTTCTCTCCTTTACTTATTTTCTTCATTCTCCCTTCCTCTCCCTACTTTATTTCATTATCATTCTCTCCGCTCATTTTGTATTTCTCTCTTTCTCTTCCTATTATCTACAAATAAATTCTATTCTCTCTATCTCTCTTTCTTTTTATTCGATCCGCTACAAGACTACATCTGGCCTCTGTCTTTCGGTATCGCGCCAATGTTTTGTGTTTTAGTTTATCACACCTCGAATCATATACGTATATACGATAATGTTTTTCTCCACCAATGCTGCGAGGCAAATCAATGCATTGCGACGACTGAGAGAGAAGAGATTTTCCGTTCGAGTTGGCAGATGCATGCTGTGAATGCATCGTGGAGTAGGAGAGGTGACTGTAATGGCGGATTTATATTGTTGGAGAGTGGCTGGCATACTGCGACGATATGAGAGTCGCTTCTTCGTGTGTGATTCTTCTGTTCATAAACGAAGAATAACCATACTACCTTATTCTTTTTTTTAATTTTCTTGGTCTTATCATTGCCGCCATCACTTAAACACTGCTAAAAAGTCTGAGATATTATTTTTTCTTTGTTTATTAACTTTTTTTCTTTTTACAGTATTATAAGGAAATTTGTAAGGAATTGAATTTATATGATGAATACAAATTAGTTTAAAATTGTAAATAAAAAAATAATGAAATTTAAAAGAATTTAATTATCGTTTTATTTTATTTTATTTAGATGTAAGAAAGTTTCACTTAGTTAAAAGTCTGTTATAATATTATTCCATATTAATTTGTGGACTTAATATAACTGAAATTCTTATTAAATGCTACAAAATCATTCAATTCAAGTTATTAATGTTTTCCCTGTGTAGTTGAATCTTAATATCTTCTACAATGATTAAAGGGGTGGCAAAGCAATTTATTTATTTAATTCGGAGATTTTTAAATCTCTGAGCAATTTCGCAACAGCAAATTTAATAAAGTTGTTTTTCCTAATCTTTTCATTGCTTCACCTTCTTTATTATCGAAGGCTTTTCATTATTTACATTATATTCATATAATTTTTATTCTACAGTCAATGCTAAAATATACATTATTATAATATTTTAAAGGTCGCTCAACAAAATTATAAAAAAATATAATATGTTAAAAAGATGTATTTCAAATACAGAATTAATATTAATATATGTTAGTAATAAATGTATTTTCAAATTAAATTTATTATAACAATATTAATGATCATGTAAAAAAATCAATGATATTTTTATAGATTTTTAAAAACTTTTATTTCGTTTGTTTAATTCAAGAAAATAGACACTTAAACATTTTTTTAATAGACAAAATTTAGAAATCTGTAACTAGTAAGCAAATTCACGTTATCATTCAGAATATTTATAATATAGAAATGTATAATAGACACGAAAAAAATCTATTCAGTTTAACAATTCTTATGTAGAAACATAATTAGAAAAAAAATAAATGAAATTTTATATTAAATAATATTATTTAGTGAGCTGAAAATTTCATGGTAGTAATAGAACAAAAAGCCATCTAAAAACATAAATTTATATTGAATAATAAATAATATTAAATTATGTAATGTATATAAACTAACTTAAATAAAGATTAGCTCAGGCTTGTAAAAAATTATTAAAATAAGAATTCTGCTGGGATTATTTTTTCATACATATGTTTTCATATCTAATTAGCATATAAAATATTCTTATGGTTTATCTAATTTTACATTTCTTAAAAATAAGTTGAAACATAATTGTTGTATTTCATAAAAAAAAATTTAATTCTATTACTCTGTATTATTGAGATTAAAAATGCTTATGTTAGTATATTATTTAATTATTCAAATATTTATAATATATAAACAAAACAAAAAAAGGAATTAATTAATTTTATTATAAATGATTATTACACGAACATATACGCATACATGCATTTATATAAAATAAATTATTTACATTAAAAGATACATATTATGTATATAATATGTACATAATAAATACATAATCAATATTTTTTAATTTCGAAATGTAAGAATTTAATGCAAAATGAAAATTTCAAATATATTAAGTTTAATTTCTAATTCATTAATATATCAATTTTAATAGTCATTCTGAGAAAGAAATTCGTTTGTTAAAAATCAACGTAAAAAATATAATCGTTCAAGTCAATTTACCTTCATGAATCGCTTTATATAAAATACCTAAAATTTTATTTATAAAAATATAAAAATATTTTTAATTACTAAATTTCGTTATAGACTAATAATGAATTATTAAAAAAAAAAATATAATACTTTAATTTTTAAGTTTCTCTTCAATTACGTTTAAATAACTAGTTTTATATATTTATAGAATGTTCGTAGAATTGAAAATGACAGGTCATTTGGAAAATAATTGTTCTTTTAATATTAATATTTTGAATATTATTTCGTTTTTCATAAGGTATATCAATTAAATCTTCTTGTAACGTATTGGAATGAAAAATAAGTTAATTCTCTAAATATAAACGTAGAATATGACAGATTTATAAAAAACAATATGGAACCCTTGGTCTAACAATTTGTTTCCAGTGAAAAACTAGTGATGGAACTGAAATGGAATGTCCTTTCTCATCCAACGAATTCTTTGGACCAAGTCCCAAGTGATTATCATTTATTTTATTCGATGTAACACGTTTTACAAGATAGATACTTCCATGGAAGACCAAAGATGGAAGATGAGTGGATGGCGTCAAAATACAGGGCATACTTTCGACATGGAATTCAATCTTTAGAAGAAAAATAGGAGAAAGTAGTGGTAACTGAGACGTACTAATGTAACATAATTTATTTAGTTTTTACAAAATACATGCTTTAAAAGTACGAAATAATGATGGGGTTAAATCAAAATAATTAAAATATTAGTTTATTTTATAAAACTTAATACTTGTTATTATTATAAAAATATAAATATGATTTTTTCTAAACTTTAAAATTAATTCTAAAATTTCTTTTTTAAAATATTAATATATAGAGAAATATTTGATTATTTACGAATAAATTCTAATATTTGAAAATTATCTTTACTATTATTATCGGATTTAATATATAGCAAATTTTTAAATTTATAATTTATTTCTGTTAAACTGGCATGAAGAAGAATTACCATATATAGGTCACTTATCACACAAGTTAAATTAATAATGAAATATTTTCTTTTATTATATAACGACCACTTATAACTATTTTTTTTTTTTTATAAATTTTTATTTTTTTTTTTTTTTATTGTATGACTATATTCA